ATTATGTAGCTATATTCACAAATACCAATAAAAATGTTATATCGATAAATGATACAAGTACTTCTTTTAAAATTACAGCGAGTGGAGATTGTGTTGTTATAACACAAGAATTGGGAATTACAGAATCAAGCGATACACAAATTTACATTGAAAACAATGGAATGTGTGACGCGTTTTATTTTAACAAAAATAAAAAGTGCATTCAATGCAAAACCGGGAAATTATTTGGAAATACATGTTATGATTTGTCTTCTGTTTCAAATTGTAAAAAATCGAACAAAAATTTTGGGTGCGAAGATTGTGAAAATGGATATGGCAATTCGATATATTCTTGTAACAGTTGTGGTTCCAATTGTAATCGGTGCGTGTCAAATACCTTACAAAATTCATTTACATGTATTGAATGTAAAAATGGTTATTATTTGAAAAATGGGGAATGTGAAACGTATGACAACACTAACACTAAACTATTCTCATTGAATTATACAATATTATGTCATAGTGGATATTACTCTACTGTAACGAGTTGTGAAAAGTGTATCGATAATAATTGTAATATATGTGTTGAAACTGGCATGAGGTGTGTTATATGTAACACCAAATATTATTTAGAAAACGGGAAATGTATACCATTTAAAGAAGGCACTTTATATTCACAAGATAATTTTGTAACATGTGAAAAAGGGTATTACGTGAACATAATTCAAAATAAAGAAACAACTTGTACTAAATGTTCAGAAACGTATGGTGAAAATTGTAAAACATGTAATTCAAAAATATGTACAAATTGCACAAAAGGTGTTTTAGATTCAAATGGTTATTGTACATTAAACAGTGGGTGTGAGATTATTGAAAATGGTATGTGTGTCAGATGTCAAACTCAATTGAACACACAATATTTTAATGGTGCTAAATGTGTGTTATGTGATAAAAGTGTGAATTGTACAAAATGTGAATTTAATAAATGTGTAGAATGTTCAGAAAATAGTTATTTGTACGACGGCGAGTGTCACTCTACTATCAATAAGAATTGTGAAATTATTAGTACAACAAACAACTTCTGTTTAAGTTGTCCAAATGGGTTTTATTTAAACACTCAAAAGATGTGTATAAGTTGTGGCAATAATTGTAGTGTTTGTTCTTTAGAAAGTGTATCGAGTACGCGCTCTTTTAAGTTGGATGACGCTTCTGTTACACAAAATGATTTAACTTTGGTTTGTAAATTATGTAAAGGTGGGTATGCTTTTAAAGAAAACACAGGTATATGTCTTGATTCAAAAGAAACAACAGAAAACTGTAAAAATGCCATTCCAGGAACATCTTCAAGTGGCTGTGCCGTTTGTATGGATGGGTATTATAGAGATAATGTCATTTGTAAACCATGTATTTCCAATTGTGAATATTGTAACACCAATTCAACGTGTTTAATTTGCGCATCAGAGTATTTCTTGTTGACCAATTCGACAAGATGTGTTCCAAATTCTGAAAATTTAAATTGTAAAAAAGTGTTGCCAAGTGGGTGCGACATGTGTAATGATGGCTTTTTCGTTGATAAACAATTTTGTACTTCCTGTGATTTGAAAACGTCTTTTTGTGTAAATTGTAATAAACAAAGTGGTCAATGCAATTCGTGTATGCCAAACTACATTTTATCGGGACAGTCTTGTGTTACATTTTCAACAATTAAAAATTGTAAAGAAGAACAGAATTCTAAATGCTCAAAATGTTCTTTCTGGTACATTCCAAGTGTAAATGGAATTGGTTGTAAATCACATGCAGTTTGGTGGATCATTTTATTGGTGATTCTCTTTTTGATAATATGTGTTGTATTTGTCATTTTCATTGCCTTTTATTTCACAAAGTTTGTATCAAAGATAATCCACAAACAAAAACAGGAAGAAACAACAACTATTTTTAATATGAACAAATCGAATGTGTATTTCACACCGATAACACCATCATCTAAAATAGTTGTTAATAAAAATGCACTTGAATTTATTGGTGGCGATAAAATCGAAATTCCTGTTTCTGAAGAAACACGAGAACTTTTGTGTGTTGGTAACTGTGCCAAAAATTCGATCAAAGTGCAATTTTCAACACAAGAAAGTGTAAAAAAGTATTCGCTACAAATAGTCCCACAAATAATTGTAATCCCAAGAGGCAAAGCAGTTGAATTTGGAATTTCGGTCATTCCGAATTGCACTTGTAATATATCAGATGATATTCTTTTAATTTCAGTCAACTTAAAAAGTGGTGTAACTGAGACGAATAATATCAAAATTGGGTTTTCGACTGAAATCACGACAAAACTCGACTATGACGAAATCAACAAAGATAAAAAAGTTGGCGAAGGATCTTTTGGTATTGTTTACAAAGGCACTTTTAGAGGAAATATTGTTGCCATCAAACAAATGAAAAACTCAAATCATTTGGATGATCAAATGGCAGAGTTTACAAAAGAAGTTGAAATGTTAGACAAATTCCGAAGTGAGTATATTGTTTACTTTTATGGCGCTGTTTTTGATATCAATAAAACGTGTATGGTCACCGAATTTGCAAATTTAGGGTCTTTGAATGATTTAATAAGTCACAAGCAGTCTGAAGAAGTTAACACAAAAATAAGGGTGAAACTATTGCTTGATGGAGCAAAAGGAATTTCTTATTTGCATTCAAATGGAATATTACACAGAGATATCAAACCGGACAATTTCTTGGTATTTTCACTTGATATAAACGACAAAGTTAACGCGAAGTTGACTGATTTTGGGTCAAGTAGAAACATCAATTTGTTAATGACCAACATGACATTCACGAAATGTATTGGAACACCAAGTTACATGGCACCCGAAGTATTAAAGAAGGAACACTACAAAAGTGTAGCAGATGTGTATTCATTTGGTATCACAATGTATGAAATTTTTGCTTGGAAAGAAGCGTATCCAACAAAGAAATTCAAATTTCCATGGAAAATAGCTGAATTTGTTATGTCAGGCAAGCGCGTCGAAAAGATTGAAACTATGACTGATAATGAATATGAAATCGTTCAGAAATGTTGGTGCACAAATCCAATTGATCGTTTAAATATAACTCTAATCATAAAAGAACTGGATACTCTTTTAAAACAATAGTACTTTAATTTTTTGGTTTTATAAACACGGATGTAGCATAAAATAGCTTCCAGAAACTAAATGTTTGCCATATAAAAAAAGAGGAGTGATTTATGTAAAAAACGGGTTTATTATTATATTTTTATATTTGTTCTTTATCGTTTAATTTTTCATATGTTTCAAACACGAATACACATATACAGAAACTTAATGTGGAACTAAAGTAAATACTAGTACCAAGGTTTCCACTTACTATTTTATTAATAATTGAAAAATATTGAACAAGTTTTGTAATTTATTTAAAAAAAATGTTCCTAATACAGTAAAACCTCCCAAGAGCGGGAGGGCGTGGGAATTTTGTTCTCTCAAGAGCGGGCATTTTTAGCCAATCAAACCTTAATTACCACTCGATAGAGAACTCTATTTTTAGTTTTAGTCTAAAAAATGCCCACTCTTGAGAGAACCCGCTCTTCAGAGGTACCGCTCTTGGGAGGTTTTACTGTACAATTTTTATATTTAATTATTACAATGATATAGAAATCATTAATTATTAGTCGAAAACATGGTCCTGGTCGAAACCTTTGTACAATGTCTGTAATTCAAATATAAAATTATCTTGCATTTGTAATTTTGTTATTATTAGTAATAACCAATGTGTATCGTTCTCAAGAAAATGCCACATACAATAAGATACAATCATTTTAGAACATTTTAATTCACAAAAAGAATTATTTTAAAAAAAATAAAAATAAAACTTTTGTATAAATTCTTGTATTGTGGGGTTTTTAAATAAATTATCACTAAGATAATGTTCTAAAAGAAAAAAGAAAATATAGTCAAGAAAAAAATTGGAAAAGTTCAAAAACAACATTCCCAAAACAATTATATTACATGGTCACGATAATCAATTAAATTAATTTTGAAGTTTTAATAATTTGTATATTTTACTTTGTGTTTTAAAATTTATTTAAGGGTTTCTTGAGGATAAGGTGTATCCTCATGACCAAAGCTATCCTTATTCAAAAATATTTTTCTGAGGATACAAAAATCAAATCCATAAGGTTCAGTTCCCCATAAGGCCCACTCTCATAACTCAAGTTATAATTTACATTTAATATTTCGAGTCAAAGTTCGAATTTCAAATAATGGTAATAATTTGTCATAAATGCCAAAAAATTAAAAACAATCAAAAAATCGTTACGATAATCAGTAAACAAAAACAATAATTATATCTCGCTTACTTGAGACGGGAAATAACAAAGTGTGAATTGAACTTGTTCACATTATAATTATAAACTTATTGAAATTATTTACGAATCCTTTTTAATAACAAAACGATTGAAATTTACGTTTAAATTGATAATTGTTTTTTATCAAAATGAAAATTGAAAAAGTCGAAAACACTGATTTTCTAAAAATGTAATTTAAAAATAACAAATTTATTAATAATTTTGTAATTTATGCAATTATTCAAATTTATTATAATAACAAAGTTAATCATATTGTGTATATTTTAATATGATTGTTTCATTTTGATATTAACTTGTGTTTTAAACAGATTTACAGTTCTGAATATGGCAATTATTTTCTGAGGATGACAGAAATAGAAAGTTTACACTTTTACATCTGTCTGAAATGTATATTGAGTAAGTTACTATTTTTGAATATGGGAACACGTCATTTCACTTTTTAGGTTTTTAAGTCTGTGTTGATAATGTCTGTTTGTTGCACGACTTACCATCCTCAAATATGTGTATAGCACTGCCACTATTGATTTAAAATTATATAAATAAAATTATCAAAGAATTTTTATAAAGTGGGTTTTGATAATTGATTATATCAATTAATCGTCAAAACACAACAAAAACGCCAAATAATAAATAAAATTGATTATTGAATTAAAGACACATTTCTATTGAGGATTGATATTGTATAAAAAAATAATGTAAACATATATTTCTTGTGTATATATGTTTTGAAAAATAAATAAAACCGTTTAAAACAAAAATGATTTTATTTTAAAAATTTGTTTATTTATCAATCGTTGTTTTATCGATCTTCAAAACCTCTCTTTTTGAATTTGCTCAAATACATAAATTGTCATCGCATAGAGTATAAGTTATTAATACGTTATTTGCTATCAATTTTTATTGTTTGAAATATCATGAATTGATTTATAATAAATTGTATTTTTTGTGAAAAAGATTAAAAATTGTTCGATTAATTTGTTTTGTGATTTTGATTAAAAAATCGACTTTTTCGATAAATTAAATTAATTTTTATTGTTTTCATATGAACCAAGGTTGGTCAAGTTGTAAATCAAAAAAAGAAATAGATTATTTTTTTGTAAAAATCAACTTTAAGAATCATCTTTCAAAAAATCCATAAATAGCATTTTTAAAGAAAATCATGTGTTTCAAAATATACCTTTTTGATCTTAGGCAAAAAAATCCAAAATGAAAGAAATTATGTTTAAGATATTTACCATCCTCAGAAAAATTAACAATCCTCATGAATCCCTTTACAACTGTTGGTATTATTAGATAAATTTAAAAAACGATACATTTCTTTTGTGTGTTTTTTCATTTATTATTGTTGTCTTAAGGAATGTGGTGCTCTCAAAAACATTAAAATGAAGAGTTTTCAATGTTTATTATACAAATGTGTTTTTAGGCATGCAAATGTTTAACGTCCGTTGTTATATAAATGAGTTTATACATTTGGGTTTCGTTGTTTTTATGTATGAAATGAACTTGTCTTAATACAAAATCGTGATTGAATTGTATTATTTGGAGAGAAATGTTTTAGTGAATGTTGCTTTTTGTTGCTCATTTCACTTACTTATAATTTAAAAAAATGTCATAATTAATTTCCCATTTTTGTAATTGTCAGACTACAATTGATACAACAAACAAAGTAAGTTAATCATTTATTTTTGTTTAAGTGTATGTTTAGGTTTTAAAGTTTTAAATCCATAGAATTGTCTCTTAATTTGATGAATATCAATTTGGCAATTATTTCAAAACTCTGGTTCTTCATAAGTTTGTTAAAGAAATACCAAATAAAAAAATCTATATATGCACTTCACTTGAATTGTTAAATAAGTGTTTTAAATAAATAATGGAACAAAAAATATTGTTTACTACTTTTAAAAATGTTTTTTTTGGTTTAAGTTGATAATAAATATTTAATATAATTAAAAAACGTTTCATTAAATGTTATATTTCAGAAAAATAATAATTATATTTAGTGTATTATATATTAATATGATTAAACGAAAACAATGCTATATATATAAAAAATATTAGTTTTTGAAATATAAATTGCGAATAGAATTGAATCAAAAACATTAAAAAAAATGTGTTAAGAAGTGTTTATCAAATAGAGTTTGTGAAAATAAAATATTTGATTTGATTATTTTATTATAATTTTTCAAGGTTATTTTTGTTTTAATTAAAAAATTGATTGTCAGTTTTATTTTTTGAATTGTGTTTTGAATGTATTAATATATTATCAAATATTTGGTATAAATTAATTACATTGTAATATTTTGCTATTTGAATGTAACTGATCCAACGACCACTTTTGTTATTTCAATAGGAACAAACAAATTTATTTTATATATTTTAGTGTTTCGAGAATGATTTTCTTATTATTTAAATTATATTGAACATTTAAAATTATTTTGAAACAAAATTATTCAAAATGAATAAATAATATTTGAACGATAAATCAAATTGTTCTAAAAATAGTTTTAAATTAAAAAGTTTAATCCAATTTTGTTTTAAAAAAAATAAAAAGAAAAATAAAAAGTACTCAT